CAGAACCGTGAAGGACTCGACACAGAACCGTGAAGGGCTCAACACAGAACCGTGAAAGGCTCGACACAGAACCGTGAAAGGCTCGACAYAGAACCGTGAAGGGCTCGACAAAGAAACGTGAAAGGCTCGACACACCGCGTCGATATTGCAATCTTACTTTGATCTCCTTTGTCAAAGTAATTAGCTCGTTCCCAGCCCATCTTTTCTCCCCAGACAGCCCCATCCGAACTAAGCTTGGAGTACAAAGGCGAGCACTTGACCTTCCTTCCCAAAAACTTTTCGGAATAAGGAAATCGAAGATAGTAATGCCAACCAAGGGTTTCTGTCACCCGTTCGCTTAATAATTGCTTGTTGTTCTCATGCGGGGAGAATCGTTTGATATCGACCGACCATAAATCCATAGTTGGTCGTCCTTCAGTGATCCATTCTGATAAAGCCATGCCCAACCCTGCAGCACTTGCGATACCACTGGAATTCATACCAGCACCAACGAAGTAGTTACGGRCCTGCGAGAAAGGGAGACAATATCAATACTTATAATCAATAATTCAGAATAATGTCGAATATCAGGCTAATTTAGCCATATACTCCCATTTCATTAAACCCAAACATTGAATACAGACTGGTTGTATCAAACAAGAAACGGGTTGCCTCAATCAGGTTAATTCAAACATCTAAAGCAATGCGTGAAAACCTTATATTCTACCATACTAGTAACCTATCTAATACATCATCACCTCGGGTGTTTCTCCCATGATATAGCTGCCATCAGGTGTGAAACTCTCTGGTCCATTAATAAGCTGACGTATTTCAGCATGGTGTAAACTGGGTATCCTGTGTAGGAACTGCTCCATTAGCTCACCTGAAGAAACATCAAAACACCAATCGTTGTACAGTCCRCACGTAATGCGATAAGATATTTCAGGCATTATATAGGAAAGTATGTGAAGCGTTACAGTCAACACCGTCGATTCCTACACACTATCACGTGTCCTTGATGAAGACGCCAGGTATTTCACTATTTAATTAATTAATTCTCAAATTTACCAAAATGATCCCAGTCCTCAGGTAAGAGTTGGAATTCAAAGTTAGGCGGAATACCATCGTGAAAGCATGGTCTTGCTTTGGTTTCGAATCCACCACCCATCAGACCTCCACTCCATTCTCGCGTAAATATTTGTCCATCTTGATCTCGCAATGTTGGCGTCAAGGAATGTGCTCCCTCGATAGTCTTAGTAACCATGTAGAAATGTTCACAAGAATGGAGAGGAACGTTTACTTTTGGGCTGCTCGTCTGCTCAAGAAAAAAAGGAAAGTATATGTGACCAGATAGCCGTAGTCCAATATAGCAACCTCGGCAGGCTACTCTAAGAAAACGTTTGGACTTCATGCGCTTAAATTCTGACTGTCAAGAGCTTTTCTCTGAGGCTTTTAACGCTGGTCCTTTTGAAAATATCAGAATCAGAAAAAGCATCTGCATTGAATTACAACATTCTTTTATTCATTTAACCAAGTACTTATCGAACCATCCAAACATGCAACTATTAGCAATTAAGAACTGTGCATATCAAACACTATTACTGGACAACCCTGTGAATGACTTGGTAAGAATCCAGAAAGTGGTACCATACCTGACCCACTTCTCTTGACCACTGCAACATACAAACAAACAATATCGCATTACTACAACATCCAAACATGAACAATATCGCATTACTGCAACATCCAAACAAACAATATCGCATTACTGCAACATCCAAACAAA